TGTGAGCGGGAGGTATGCCTTGTCAGCAAAGATGACTAACAGCATCCAGAGCTCTGTGGCCAGGAGCACAGCCAAGAGATTGAGGGATTTGATTACCCTTCTTTGCTCTATACTTGTTAGCTCAGGGCTAGAGCACTGTGTCTAGATCCTGGTCTAGAATCCTGAATTCAAGAAAAACATTGGCAAACTGGACTAAGGTCAGTGGATGATTGTCAGGTTGATTGAATGACTGGATCAGCACATGAGGAAAGACTGGGACAACTGGTCTTGTTCAGCCTGAAGGATGCCTCTGAAGGGACCTAGCAACAGCAGTGGCTTGCCAGGTCCGAAGAGACGAGGCCCAAGAACATGGATTGCTTTTGCCATTTTATTGGACTGTGTTACTGGCCCTGTGGTAGTCAGTCAGAAATCTTCCTCAAACCACTCTCTCTTAGGGGTTGTAGAGTGGCACAGTTATGATTTATAAGGAGTGTCAGCCTTTAGCTGTCTTTCTTTGACCATAGAAGTCTCAGTGGTAGAGACACTTTTGTCAATAAGCTGTAGGCTAAAGTTTCTCAGCAGGGAAAGTAGCTGCCAAGTCAGACTTCAGTCACTGCCACTGAAGATAAAAATTCTGGTTCTCAACAATACCTGTGAGATGTGTGGGTTATGTCTATCTGCCATAGGTAGTAAAAAAAGCTAGGGATCAAATTGAGCTTGTCAGACTTGAGGGAGTAAGAGGTTTTGGATTTTGTTGCCTGTCTCAAAGACAGAAATTCCAGGGTAGCTTAATTCTCAAGAAGCTGCCAAATCTCTATTTATTAGTGATTTTTTAAAAAAAATCAAGATTGCTGAAACTGGTATTTTTTGTCCTGCTTAGGCAGTGAAGAATGCAGCTCCAGTTGTTCCTGCCTGAAATAGATCCAATTTTATTTACTGGTTTTTTTTCTGGGATCTTGGAGGTGCACAGCAGTAGGATCTGTGAAAGTTTTGCAGGTCAGCTGTTGTATAAAACAGGTTCAAATTACATCAACTTGCTTGGGACCTTGTCCAGATGGGTTCTGAATACCTCCAGTCAAGGATGGACACAGAGCATTTCTTGCCAGCCTGTTCCAAGGTTTTAATAATATAATGTGTTTTGTTTGTTTTGTCACAGGTTTTTTTTTTTACAAACCAATTCCTTATAGGACTGAATTGCCCGTGCTGCAGTGAGTTTCTGTTGCCTCTCACCCTAATCTCATGCTCCTCCAAGGGGAGGCTGGCCCTGTCTGTGCTTCAGCAGTCCACATGGCTGTCGCACTCTCCCAGGTGATCTCCTTTTGCCTTTTCTTCTCCAGGCTGGAGAAGCTCTTGCAGCTTCTCCTGGCAGGTCTGTGCTCCAGCCCCCAGCGTCCTACTCTGCTGAGCCTCTGCGGGCCTTGCTCCAGGGTGTCACATCTTTGTGGTCTTGTGCCCGCCGATCCAGATCCAGTTTCACCAGCATGGAGTAGCAAGGAAGAGCCTCTTTCCTGGGCTTGATGGCAAAACCTGTGCTAATGCAGCCCCTTTTGCAGCTGACCTTTGCTCTGGCTGCCTTACCCCTCAGACTCCTTCTGCACTTGTTGTCTGTCCCTTAGGGCCCCCAAGTCCTCTCCTGCCAACCTGTTTTCTACCCCACCGATGCCCACCTGTCCCCCTGCCCGGTGTGAGTCCATCCCAGGAGCAGAGCTTTTCCTGTGCTGACCTTTACCGTGCTGAAGTGCCGTGCTGTTTGTGCAGCCTGTCAGGGTCCCTGTGCACAGCCCTGCTGCCCTGACTGACTTGGGCTCGGGACTCTGGGAGGCCTGAGGACAGGACTCAGCCAGGAGCAATGGAGCCAGAGACAACGTGGAGCCTTCTCTGTGCCTTTCGACACGTGCAGCAGAACCAGACCTGGACCTGGGTTTTTCTTTAGCTTTCCTTCTGCTGCTCATCTTCTTGCAGAAGGCTTCTTCATTGCTTCCCCCATTGCTGACTGCTGTTATTGCCTTCCAAGCTGTTGTACTGTGACAACCATAGAAGCTATCCAAAGATGTTGTTCGTATCCCAGAATTTGTAGTGTTGCAGCTGTTCCTTGGCCTCTGATTCTGTCTCACAAGCCTTGCACATCTGGTTACAGGCAAGTGTGGTGGGGCCCCCACACTGTCTCCCATCATGCCATTCATTCCATGCTGTCCTCACTGCCCCCACTTGCAAGTTGGCCATTTTTTTGTCACCACTGATAAAAAGTCTTGTGGAAATCAAGGATAGAAAATGCATAATTTAGTAACAATTGCTTTTTGTTAATCTTTAAAAGTTTGAAATGTTTGAATTTTCATAATAGAAAGGTAAACAACTCCAGCCTCAAGAAAGACACTGTCTTACTAATGTTAATAGTAATCTCTTCCAGTTATCCATGGAATTCTAAGATAAAGTATAACTACATATGCTCAAAACCTTGGCTGACGAGATGCTGGTTCTGCTAGGTGCTTTCTGGAGTTTCTTCAACTAGATAAAGGCCAGAATGGAGAATTTAAGTATTGAAACACTCTTCGTGTTTATAGTTAGAACTTTAGTAGAAGAGTGCAGACCTGCATGGAGCTATGAACTTTTCTGTTAGGGCAAACCATGCAAGAGAAGGAATTAGGCAGGCTGCACAGATCCTTATCACATAGGCACTATCATGTCTCCAAAAAATTATTCCAGTAGCATGGTGAGAAAGCAAAAGACTGAGAGCTGGCAAAACTGGCCTGAGTGAGCCTTTGATCTTGCCCGAAATCCCATCTCTGCTGTGACCATAACACATCTCTAAAGAAGAAAAACACAGCAAGTACAATTCTTCTCTCAAATGTTCTCCCATCCTACGGCCATTTGCAGTTCAAGGAATTCGATGCAGTTTTGTCTTTGGCTGATTTTAAAGTTTTTGTGCTTTTTAGTGTCTTATAATATTTAACTTCCAGTTTGGTTAGAGGAATGAAATAGCAAATAACCCTTTCACTTTCATGTGATAAAAGATGTAAAAGTGTGGAATAAAAATATTTATTGAAGGTTCCCACTGTTTCTACAAACTTCCTAGGAATTTGATTAGATCCTGGGTCTAGTGCCCATTGAAGCAGCCGGAAAGGTTGTGTCACCTGTGTTGTATAGGCTGTATCCTAAGGACTCTGTAGGCCTCGCTCTGCTTCACCATCTGCCCGGGGGGTTCACAAACCGACTCTGATGGAACTTGGCATTAAAAGTCTGAAAATACTTTCTCAGTCCAGAATTTTTAGTTGACTGTAGCACACCATCATTAATTTCTTCAGGCAAGGAGCTGAGGAATCTTTTCATCTGTGCAGAACAGGAAGAAAACATTGGGGTATTTTGTTGTATCCAAAGATTTGCACCCACTGCCTCTCTGCACTTGTTCTGCAAGCTGTCTGTCAGTTCCTTGACGTTTCCAGGGTAATGCTTGCTCTCCGTGCTCATGTTTCTTTTATTATGCTGCTGATACTAACATTTTGAGAAAGCAGATACGCAGTTTAAAATATGATGGTTCGGCTAAAGCTGAACAGAGTTTTTGCTCTGGTTTCTGCTTTTCCAAAGTTTTAGTCTTGCTGTAAGTAGAACAGGTATTCTGCCATCTCAAAACAAAAAGAGTTGGTTGAAAGAGACATTTATTTGATAACCTTAATTTGTCTAAATACAGCAGGGAAAAATTGTTGGTCTTCAGGCTGGAAAAGAAAATTATTAAGAAAGGGATGACAAAAACCTGTAAAACAGGCAAAGGTGCCTGGGGAATGCCTTCCCACTGCTGCTCCAGCAGTGCAGGGAAATGCCATCAAATGAAACTCACACATGGCAGGTTCCAAATGAGCAAAAGGAGGTTCTTCCTCCCGCATTGCCTGGTGAGGTTCTGGTACGCTCTGCCTTGGGCTGTTGCAGATACTAAAAGGCAGCAACTTTGAAACCTTGTCAGAGACACAATGCTAGGAGAGCCAGCTGTTGGCATGACCTCCTGCAATAGTTCTCATGTCCTTGCAGCACACAGGGAACAGATGCATGCCTGGTATCTCTCACATAGGTGTTTGTGCCTTGCACCAGATATAAACTGTAATTTTAACTGTAACTAATTCTGTTTCTAAAGCAAAACGTGAACACCAACTCACTTTTAATTCCTGTGGAAATATTATAACAATTAAATATTTTAGTTAAATAAGTGAAAGCTAGAGTAAATATTGTAGAAATAGAAAAGGTTGTCTAGTAGATCTATTTTAGTTACTTACAGCACCTTTTTATGGTTTTCCTGCATGAGTTATTCCAAATTAAGAACCAACATTTTCATTTAAGGGTACACTTGCCCATTTCTAAGCTCAGTTCTTTAGGTCTTGCTTCCAACCTACTTCATACCCCTCCTCTGCTAACTTCCTTGTAAAAGAGAAAATAAAAAAAGGGTTTGTCAATAGAACTAATGCAGTTACCTAATGTATTAAAATACCAGTAAAAGTTGGCAGGATCGTAAGTTGACACACCTGATGGCTGGTCATGTTGAAACTTTGACATGGAGGTCAATTTCACCTCAGCCAGGAAGATGTGCTGACAAAGGCAGGCATCCTATGTGGCAGCTTTTACTTATAATGGGTGAGGCTTGTTTTTGAAATGCCAACATGAACACCCCACCCCCAGCCCCCCTTTAGTCTAGGGAGATGCAGCGCTTTTCTAGTCTGAACAGGACAAATTCACTGTACTTTGGATTGCCGACAGTAGTCTCCCTGGCTGCCGGTAGCTAAGCCTCACTCGAAAACAGCCGTGAGTCAGGCGTTGTGGATTCAGGCGGGGTCTTCCAGAAAGCCTGAGCCTCAGTTCTGTGCTCCTGCTCTTCATTCTCTGCTTGTCCCGTGCCGCGGAGACCTGCCCCACTGTCTGGGAGCTGCTGTCGGAGGGAGAGCTCCTGTGGGCACGGGCTGGCAATGTGTCAGTGTTGCTGTTCTGGAGCATGACAGATTCGTGTTTCCAGTTTTAGATATTCCTTGCTTCCTTCTCAGATCCGGGAGCTGGTTCCTGAGTCCCAGGCCTACATGGATCTCTTGGCCTTCGAGCGCAAGCTAGACCAGACCATTATGCGGAAGCGCGTGGATATTCAGGAAGCGCTGAAGAGGCCAATGAAGGTATGTTGGGAAAAACTGTAGGTTGTGTCAGGGGAGGAAAATAATTCTTGTAGTAAATGATGGAAATACTTTTCAAGTAAAAGTCCCATGAGCAGAAATGCTTTGGTTAGACAAAGCTCCTAAGAGTGAACAGCTGGGAATCAGCAACAGAAAAGTGGTAGAGAAAATTCAGTGGCTAGTACCAGCTCTAGCTTCTGGAAGTCTTTAATGAGGGGATTAATAGCCTAAGGATAAATAAGCAATAGATAAACACTAGTTTGGGAACTTTGTATTAAAATTATTAAAAATGAGAAAATAAGAGATTAGAGGGGTGTGCTGAAGATATGTATTATGTTTCCAATTCAAATTTGGTCAAAAATGGAATTTGTGGAATAACAGAACATACAATGGGAAGAATTACTTACAGAAATTATTATTTGCGTAAGAAAAGAATGGATGACATTTTTTGCAGTTTCTGTTAGATAAAGTTCATTACTTCGCTCTTCCTAACTTCCCACTGAAAAGGTTTTTTCTAAGTTTTCTGAGCCTATTCATTGGAATCATGGAAGAGTTTAGATAGGAGGAAACTGGAAGTTATCTAGTTCAACCTTCTGCTAGAAACAGGGCTGTCAAGGCCTTGTTGAGTTTTGAAAATCTGTAAGGATGGAGGTTTCACAGCCTCGTCAGGCAGTCTGTTACATTTTTTGCCCACTCTTATTGTGTACAATTTATTTTCATGTCTCGTTTAAGTTCTTGTGACTGTACTGGGTAGCTCATACTCTGTTCCTCAAATAATGCCCATAGAATGAAGAGTTTTGTAGCTATATGTCTGCCATGACATAAAACTATCATTCTTGTCTGTGTCAACAAAGATCAATATTCTGTTGTCTTTGTCACTGTACAGGTACCTGATAAAATGTGGAAAGCTTTTACCTCTTGATGGTTTTCCAGTTGATATATGTGAAACGAACAAAAAAAAAAAAAAAGAAAAAAAGAAACAATTAAGTTCTATTAACACCTCCTAGACAGAAAAGAAACTGAAATGTGGATGGTCTAAATAATGAGTTCATTCCTAAAAAGTGTTTTACATAATAGATTTTACTCTCAGAAGAAATCATTTGTCTTACCTTCTTGATATGTGTAGAACACCATTCTTTTAAACTAGTTAGGAATCTGGCCATATTTAAAGGTGATTGAAGACTTTGACTTGAATTCGTAAATCACCAGGAAGTTATTTATTCTGTGGCAAACTCTTTAATGAGGGAATTAACAAGTGCACAAGATCCTAGCTGTAAGCTGTGCTATGGAGCTATTCAGTGTCTGGGTTAGGGAGGAGTATAGGAGGCACAACACTCTACAGAAACTGTAGACAGAAAATTTTGTTTCCATCTAGGACTCAAACCTAGATAAACTTGGGTTTTTCTTAATGTTAAGTATTTCCATTTTATTATAGTTGCAGAATTGGTAACAGCAGTAGAAGTTATCTCTGCATTTCCATCTCTTATCAAAGGTCTTGTAATTTTGAAATACTTTCCTTAAAACAATAATTCTCAAACACAGACTACAATCCTATGAGAAATATGAATTTGTCTAAAGTACATGAAATTATGTGGGAATATGCAGGATTTCTCAGAGTTATCAGCTGTGGCTGCAGTTACAGTGTCTGTCACGGTGATTGAGCTGTAGCTAGAAACAGTTGTAGAGAACCACAGATTTATGGTCAAGTGTTGCTCAGGCTGGGTTTTTTTCTGTCTAAAGACTAACTATTCTGGAGAAATTTTAGGGTTAAGTGGTTAAAGAATTTATTTTCGTGAGGACAGTGCATAAAATATGTTTGGCTTGTTGATCCTACTTGGATTTCCTGAGAGCAGTTGCACTCTTGAACCAGATGACAGCTGTGGGATGGCTCAAGAAGTGAGGAGACCTGGAGTTTGGACGGCTGATGAAGGGGAAAATGGCCTTCCCCACCTGTCAGCAGCCCTCTTCAGCTGCCAGCTTTTCCAGTTTAGATCCTGCCTCGGCAGTTTTCCACTGGTTGGGCACTGCTGTGTACTCTCCTCTTCTTCAGCCAGTCCTGCATTGTTGGATTTCATCTGTCTTGAGAGTCTCAGAATTCCTTGTCTGCAGAGCAGCATTAGCAAGAGTCCTTGTACTGACTTCATGGAAGACTCGCATGGTCAGAATTCAAGAAAGAACTTTTGGGAGGTAGTCAGGCAGACAGGGCTGTTTGACAGATATAGCAAGCTCCATGGCCTGAAGGAAACAGAAACCATACACTCAACAGACCAGCAGATGACATTAAAGAATGAATTACTGAAAACCGACGCAGCTCTGTGGGCATGGTGGACTTACAGGAGTGGGATTTATTTCTCTAAGTATAGACGTAGCCATTTCATTCATTTATATGTGAGCTAGTCACTCTTGACTCCCTTCACAGTTGAGAGAATAAGTTGGTGTAGGCAGTGGTGTTCAGGGCACAATTCTTCTCATACAGAAGTGGATGTTTAAAATAATATAGATAAATAACACCCTAGAAATGCTTATTTCTCTCCATTGTGTAACCCTGAGATAGACAGTTGTTGCCATAATTTTAAGACTGAGATGATTTTCATCCCAAAGCCTGAACCAGGGTCTTCTGACTGAAAGTGGGATGTGACCATGACACGAGCAGGGCTCCTACTCCAAGCACCACTCCTGGCACCACAGACAGTACTTTCGTTTCACCTAAACCAGAGACTGTTGTCCAGGGGCTGTCATTCTTTTGCAGTGAAATAGTGTGAGACATTCAGTTTACCAGATATGTGTATAGTTGCAGTTTCCAAACTAAATTATCTGCTTCCAGGTTCTCCATTTTTAGGTGTAAAACAAGTAGTAGCGTCAAAACACCATCATAGTGTCTCTTTCCCTAGTTTTGTGAATTGAGATTTTTCTCCCCACTTTCAGGTTCTAAGTTGACTGAGGAATTGATATTGGATTGTTGCCAGAGAGCAGTTTTGTTTTTTTCTGAAATACTTGTCTTGTGGCATAATTCTATGTATTCTGCTTTTTGCATTATGAGATAAGGAAAATCCGATCACCTTATCTCCTTTAATCAGTCAGTGTTTTAAATATGTCTTTCAGGTTCTTTAATGTTTTCTTTTCTCAGGTAAAAAATTAATTCCTCCCAATCCCTGTAGAAAAATAATTTTTCAGCGCACCTGGCTTCTTCTTATTACCTGTCACTATACAAGTCCTCATTCTCTCCTGAGAAAGTACAATATACAACTATGAAATAAGCTGCTACAGCTGGTTTTGTAGACTACTGTGTGTACTAATTTCCATTTTATTCCATGTAGCATTTGCTTCACCTTTTTTTGCATTTTGTTGTTGTTTATGCTTTTATAGAACTGACTGCAAGTGTTTTTCATGTGTCGGTGCAATTTTGAACTCAGTAAATATTGTCTCATTCCTTTTATTATTCATGATACTTGTGTAGTCTACCAAGTCACTGTTTTTTCTGCTTTGGGTTGGCCATTTTTATGTTCATGTCCATTTTTTTTCCCAGGAGTTACCTAACTAATTTTGTTTCCTCTACAAATTTTGACATATCTTGCTGCTGCTCTGAGCGAGATGCCTCTATATTCCCGCTCTAATATGGACATTCTTCATTTAATTTGGGTATTTTATAATGATCAGACAGTGGTTATTGTTTTTTCTGTCTCCTGGTTTTTAGTTTCCACTGTTCATTTTGCTTTCTGAAAAGTTTTTCTTTTCTGTGAGACCAGGAAACGGTTACTGTATATGCAAAGGCAGAAACACAGATTTTAATCTTTTCTGTGCTTTGTGCTTGAGGTTTTTATGCTATGTTGAGGTTCATAGAAATTCACCCTTAAGATATACTTAGCTCTTAACACAATACTACTTAAAAGATTGGCAGTCAGATTTTGAGTCTGAGTCAGTCAGCAGTAGACTATCTGCTAACAACTTTGTTGGTTTGAAATCCCAAGCACAACTTCCCTGGAAGTGTCCGGGAGGTTTTGGGTCCAGCCTGAGAGTTCATTGAAGGAAACTTAAGTTCAGCAGTTGATGGAGATTTATCTAGGGGATAGCACACAGATCATGGGATCATCAGATACTTACTTTCTGATTCAACTTGTTAGGGATTCAATACTAATGGAAACTGAAAAAAAAAAAAAAAAAACAAACAAACACTGTAAATGAGGGAAAGTTTTCTGAAGGATTTGGCAGATTTCCAGCATTTCACCCATTTACTTGAACTTAAAGCTGTATTGATTTGTGTGAAGATGACATCAGAGAACTTGGAGAAAGAGCAAGCTGTAGGTGTGCTGCTCCACTGTTCCTGTCTGCCTCCCATTCAGATCTGTTTGATTTCACGTGAGCTCACCCAGCAATTGTGCTGAGACCTTTGCAGGAGTTCATTGCTGACATGACCACTCATCTGTTACATATGATTACTTTTTTCCCTTTCATTTTCTCAAGGAGAAATTGCAAGTGAAATACAATGGGTTTAGGGGAAGACTTTTCATTTTAATAAGACTGCTATTTAAAGTTTCTTTTGCTGAAGCTGAGTCAAAGATCAGTGTCTCACTGTATGAGAGCAAGGAGATCAAGCATTTACTGATTTTTGGACAAGAGATTGTTTGAATCCCAATGTTGATCAAATCTCTGTGAAGTTCTCCCTGCTTAGCTTTGCCGTTTTGGGTGATAAAGTTCTGGTGTGTCTGAAAAGATGAAATGGGATGCTTTCTTTTTGCCCTAGAGCTGTAAGTCTTCTCTTTAGTTTTTGCTTCCAGCTACTGAGAGTCCTTTGGTTGCTTGCCCTTCTGTTCTCTGAGAATCCACCGTACAGAGAGGAGAAGGGATTTTAGATCTGTGTGATAAAGCACATGACTAAGAAATTTACAGAATTTATTGAAGGGCAGTCACTTCTTGCCACCGCTTTATATAAGCGGCAAAGCAATAAAGTTGCTCATAAATGTTATCATTTTGTGCCTGGATGAGATGGAGTTGCTCAGCTGGAGATGGAAGAATATGTCATTCTGAAAGCCTTCTGGATATGAACTTGACATTATTGTGGAACACGGTGATACTGAGAGGGAACGAAATGCAGTGGTTTTTGGTGTGTATCAGCAGCTGAAGAGACTTTGTGGCCTGTACTCTAAAACCCCACCCAGCACCATGTTGGTGTCTTTCTTTCTTGAGCTGGGTTTTGACTATATCTTATCTCTGAACCGGCATCTTCCAAGACTGGACATCCTTATGATAGCAGTATAGCTGTGCATGCTGGAGTTGTTACTGGATAGATCCCTTCAGGTAGGATTCATACTGTACTCTTGGGTGTCTGCTAAGGGTCTTGCTTGCTTGGTGGTAGTTTGAATCAGCTGCCAGGAGAATAGTCACAGTAGGAGGGAAGGAGCTTAAGGGTCCAAAGTAACTGTTCCTGGCTGTAGAGCCACGGTTCTGAAATTTTACTAGGGATTTCTAAATTTATTTTCTTTAAATTCCACTGCACAAAGTATGCATTACCACTGTTGGTAATAAGGGTATGTAGGGAAGTTCAAGAGCCGTTGTCTAGTTCTTGGACCTGGAAGAGGAGACAGCCTCCCAAAATGTCTGGGAGCAGAACTGTTCCCAGGTAGCTCTTACAAGGAGACAGTGGTGCTGGTGACACTAGATGTCTATTAAGTAAAAGCCTGCTTGTGTATGTAGATACAGTTCTGCAAGTAATCCAGGTGGGGATAAAATTTAGGAATGGTGCATAAAATGTTTGGGGTAATTTGAAGAGTGTTGAGTTTAGAAATGTGAAGCCCTTCACAAATCCACCACACTAAACAGAGATTTGGGCTCATTAAAATAATTATATTATGAAATAGCACTTTGGCAACAGAAATCCTGTAGGAAAGGATGGAGAAAACATGGATTCACAAGAATGTTTTTCTGCTAATCTGCCTGTTCTTATCTGTGTAAACCTGTCATTTTCTGGACTGATGGCACTTTGGAAAATCCTGCTCCCTGTCAGAGCATACTGTCGACACTCCATTTCTATCAAACCTCTCTGTCACTGTCTTCTCCAGATCTGGCAAAATGCAGTAATTTTCCTGTTCCTCTTCAGCCGTAAATCTCTGCCTTCCCCATTCCTCTATGCCAGATTATGCTGTATAATCTGCTGTATGTAACTTCATTCCCTCCTATGTGCGTATAAGCTTTACAAGATTGCGCCTTTCTTACTTTGTTTTGTTGGCATTAACTTGACAACTGTAGCCTTTTTGACATTGTATTCTACATAGGTATTGGAGATTAGAGTCCCAAAGTAATTTTTGATAACAATCTTTTCTAGAAATGCATCAGACTTAATAGCTGGGTTTTCCACATGATGCGTGGAAGGAAGGGCACTGAGAAATGACACAGCCATAAGCCACTATAGTGACTGGGAAATTTCAGGTGGTCTGTAAAAATAGCAATGTATTAGCATGATTGTATCTCTGTCAGAACTGAGCACCTGGGTTAGGGATGAAGCAGACCTTCACTCAGGTCTCCCAGCAAGCTGGAGCTGCAGCATGTTTGCTCAGGGTGAAGGCAGGTGGGGTGAAGAGGAGAGTAAGGCAGCCGGTGTCAGTGTGTTCAGGTGTGTCTGCAGGAGGATTGCTACCAGATGCTGCATGATGGCAGAATGCAGATCGACAGAGATGTGTCTGGCAGGTAGTTTGCAGTATGAGCTGTATTTGTTACTGCCATTTACAAATCTGAACTATGCAACTATGAAAGATATTTGTGTTGCAATAGAGTTGCAGCTGAATTTTAGCAATCTAGCTAGGTTGAAGCCAGAAAGTATATAATATCATGCTTTACTCACAATGATTTCTCAGATATCTAATCCAGAAATATAGAATGTATCACTTCTTAGGCATGGCAACCTCCTGTCTTCCTCCATTTACAGTGACTTTCAGCATGTTTATATAACCAAGAGTTTTTGAAAGGAATTTTCAGATTCAGCTCTTCAATGTATTTTCATACATAACAGAATCTTAAATTATAATACAACCAGTGTAGCTGTACAAAACATGGAGATTCCCTATTAAATGTGTAATTGTCACCTTTCCTGCAGCTTCCTCAGATCCTGAACTTAAACTGGATATGTACTTTTCCCTTTTCTATGTGCATAACAGCAAAAGCGGAAACTGAGACTTTACATTTCCAACACATTTAATCCTGCAAAATCAGACGCTGATGACTCTGATGGCAGCATTGCTTCGTGGGAGCTGCGCGTGGAGGGGAAGCTCCTGGATGATGTATGACTTATCTCTGCTTCACTGGGGCTGGCAGGATCTAAAGATTGGCCTTTGGGGTGTTAGGTTTTACTGGGGACGTCAGCTGAGACAAGACATGTCTGAATGGCAGTGTTGACGTGTTGCTGCTGGGAAGGCACTGTGCCCAGCCCAAGTGAGGGATAAGGCCCTAATGGGAATGTTGGAGAGTGCAGCAGAAAATGAGGCAGATATAAGGACGGGATAGGTAGGAGGAAGTGAAGAGGGCTGAGATTAATCCCTTTAAAGAGATGGCAGGGTTCAGGTTACAACAGGTGGGGTAATTCTGGCCTACAGTGAGCATTGCATCTTGTGAAGAGCAGGATAACAAGGAGAAGTGAGTACTTCATATTCTTAGGGGGTACAACAGGAAGTATGAATGGTTAGAGCAAGGATGGAAGAAACATTTTACTATTTTGAAGTCCTCAGAAACCTCAGTGGTGGATTTAGCTGTCCTTGTGGAAGGCTGGACTTTCCTAACAAAGCTGTCATCTATTTGAATAGACTTCACAAGTAAGTATTTATAGGCTAAACAGATGGAAAACATGCATGCATGGAGAGGACAAGGCTTTCAGTCTGTCTGGAGGTAACTGTACATAAATCAGCTGGAGGAGGAAGTGGTGAAAAAGTGCAGCATCTGGGAGTTGAAGTTAGACAAATTCAGTTTAGAAATTAGAGCATAAATTTCAATAAACAAAGAGATTCTTTATTGGAACAACATAGCTTTTCAATTTCCAGCATTTTTAAATAAAATATTATTTGCATTAAATACAAAGAAACAAATTGGAATACTGTGGCATGTATTCTGTGGAGAGTCAGGTAATCATAGACCTTCTAGTTTTTTAATATAGACAATATGAGCTGTGCAGTAAACAACAAATACTGATAATTAAATGAAAATAAAAAACTTAAGAGGAAATGGTTTTGCTTAGTGTATGAGAGTCTGCAAAACTTACTGTAATCTGATAAATCAGACCAAGAAACTAGCATTCATCAGAAAGGTATACAGAGAATTTAGGATCATAGAATGGTTTGTGTTGGAAGGGATCTTCAAGACCATCTCATTCCATCCCACTGCCCTGGAGAGGGACACCTTCCACTAGTCCATGTTTCTCAAAGCCCCATCCAACCTGGCCTGGAACGCTTTCAGGGATCAGGCAGCCACAGCTTCTGTAGGCAGCCTGTGCCTCACCACCCTCTGAGTAAAAAATGTCCTTCTTGAGACCAGTCCAAAGCGACAATCTGCCCCTCACCCTTTCACTACAGATCTTGGGAAAAAGTCTCCCTTGATTTTTCTTACAAGCCCCCTTTAAATACTCCCTGCAACCTGTGTTTCTCTGGGCTTACCAACCCCAGCTCTCTCAGCCTGTCTTCACAGGACAGGTGCTCCAGTCCTGAGGTAATTTTCATGGCCATTCTCTGGACCTTTCACATCGATGCCATGTTCACCTTACAAGACAGTCCTTTTTAATAACATTAAGAGTCAAGGAAATCTTCCCTAAAAAGTGCACTGTTCCACTACTGTTGAGATTTTTGCATCTTACCCTATTTTTGTCAGAGGGAGAACTCAGTTAGATTGATCACACTTGTGGTTTATGTGGGATTTATTGTTCAAGACAGACTGAGAAGTCTAGGACACAAGCTAATAAATGCAACGTCTGGTTCTTCTGCTTGTACAGCTCAGCAAACAGAAGCGGAAGTTTTCATCTTTTTTTAAGAGTTTGGTTATTGAACTGGACAAAGATCTTTATGGACCTGACAATCATCTTGTGGAGGTGAGAAGGCTCTGCACCCTTTGCGTACAAACCAGTTACTGGCACACATAAACACCTGGCGCCTGTTGCCTCCCTTGTTTAAGGGACTTTGCATTCATTATCTCATGTAAAGTATTTTCAAATTTTTCAAAATTCCATTAATCTTAAGAATATTTGCTAAAAGAATCTACTCTAAAAGCATAGATGATTTAGTGCTGCAGCGCACATCTTAGAACAGAATGTATGAAAAGATGAAACTATTGTGCACATTTCTCCTAACACGTAAAGTATGTTAACAGCAGAGCAGATTCTGCACTAAAGCTGAATTGAAATGACTGGGGGGGATGGAGGTGGGGGGGGTGTTGTGGTTTGGTTTTGTTGTTATGGGGTTTCTTTTTTAGATTGCCAGATCTTCAGAAAGCTTGCGCTTGTCTGATTCTGGTATGGTGTACTGTGCAAGATGCACCTCCATGGACATCAGTGAAAAAAAGACCAACAATTTTGTTTTTCCCTTTGTTAGTGGCACAGAACTCCCACGACCCAGGAAACGGATGGCTTCCAGGTGAAGAGACCTGGGGATGTCAGCGTGCGATGCACATTACTCCTCATGTTGGACTACCAGGTCAGTGTACTGCTTTTAGCCTGGAACATATAGCCTCTGGGACCTAGTGCAACAGAGCAAATTTGTCTTGTCACACACCTCAAAACCCAGTATACTTGTACTTGCAGTGTCACATGGTCCATTGTAGTTAGAATGATACTAAACAGACGGATTATTTAAAATTTAAAGGGGACAAATCAAGTGAGTTTCTAATATAGTCTAGCAAAATATTGGTCTTGGCATTATGATAATGATAACTGTTACTGCCCATCTGCAGAAAAAATATGCATTTCCTCCTCTAGCCTTTTAGAGGATAGTCAGAGAAGTTGCACACAAGTTACACATGTGGTTCTTTGAAAAAAATTCAGAGGAGAAGCTATTGCTAGTGATACCTGAACTAGTTGTATAGCTGTGGCAGCCTTACCTGGCACAAACGATGGATACTGCAGTTGTAGTATCACTAATCTGACTGAAACCATCCCTGGAAGAAATGTTGCTGTCTTAAGGAAACTGCTAACTGTTAAACTCGCACTGCTGTGAGTAGGTTGGGATCCCCCCTTTCAATGACAGTTCAGGCTCAGATGCATTTTGATGGTGTACCTTTAAGAACTTGTTCTCTGCCACCTTCTTTTGCCTCCAGACAAATAGCATCTATTCAGGATATAGACACTCCATTCTATGTTAACAGAGAGAAAATTTTATTAATTTTAGGAAGCATATGGACTAACTGAAATACTGATATAGGCAGCGAGAATTTTTGCTGTTTAGACAATATAATGTTTGTTATGCTCACAATTATTATAAATTTTAAAATAAATGTTCTTTTGTTCTTAGGTCCTGATTTGTTTTAAAGCTAGCTTTGGGTGACCCACCATCCATCAGAGTAATCCTTGCTTATTAATGTGATAAATACTAAACCTGAGTATGAGTACACATTTGAAGAAACATCTGATTCCAGATTATCCAAGGAGTTTGTTACAAGAGATGGAGAACAGGGAAGTTGAATTATATCACTGAGATCAGGAAAAGAAATAAAATCCATTGATTGGTTGCGGTTAGATAAATCTTTTGGTTTGCACTGGAATGGTTCATTGCCTGAACAGAGTTCCAAGTTGACATGAGACAGCAGTTATTAGCAGCTGTGGAAGCATCATCCTGCCTTCCTTCTCTCTGTCTGTGGTTAACTTCCAGTAGTTCAGCTGTTCTTTTTCTTCTCTCATTCAAATTTTGCATCAGTGTTGAAAGGGATAATTCTTTCTGAGTCTTTGTGCAAGTTTTTATTATTTGAAGCATGTGCTACAGGTAGTCTGTGTGCACAGCATGGGTACAAGGTCCTTTTTCCAGAGCGCCAATGGTGGGACACAAAAATACAAACTTGTATTTTTGGAATCTCTGCCACTGAATGGGATACTTCTCCTGAGGAACAGAGTCCCCTGAGAACTAAAACGGAAACGTCATACTTGCATATCTGTCTGCTTTCCTCTGTACTGCCCCCTCCTTGGCTTTCTGTTCCAGCCTCCCCAGTTCAAGTTGGACCCACGGCTGGCCCGGCTGTTGGGGATCCACACGCAGACACGCTCGGCCATCATCCAGGCTCTCTGGCAGTACATCAAAACAAACAAGCTGCAGGACTCCCATGATAAGGAATACATTAACTGCGACAAGTACTTCCAGCAGGTAACTCTTTTTTGGACGCAGTCGCTGTTTAGAAGCAAACTCTAACATCCAGCCACAAATTTGGGATGAATGAAAATGACTGGTTTTTATTTTCCCTTGATGATTTGTGTTATCCTCAGTACTGAATGGCTTTCAGCAGCCACTACAACTAATATCATTAACACCCTCTCCATGTGCCAGTGTTGTCAAAACCAAGGCCACATGAAAGCATCTCCACCCTTTCTGTAAATATGATTATGGGGTTTTTTTGAAAGGTAATGTTAACTGAGCTATCACTGTCTTACCTGGCTTTGTTTTTCAGGCTCACATGACTCACTTTGAAAGTAATTGAAAGTAGGGTTTGTGACATACTTCTGTGTAGGGAAAATACTGGCAATTACAATGAATGAATAATGTTTTAGCAACCAATGAAAGTAAATGTTGTGATGAAACTTGTGTCCTGGTTTTCTTTTTAATTTTTTATCTTCTGTTATTAATTTGCCCTATAACAGTTCAAAGTAGCCAATGCTTGAAGTAAATTTAAAGACACCTCTGCACATTTGAAACTACAAAATGCAACAAAATAATTGTGAGATTCATGGATAATTTTAGGAATATAAACTCAAAGTGATCATGATTATCTAGTCACTCTCTTGTTTGTTTGGGTTTTGGTTTTTTGAGGATTACAGCATGCAGTCTTTTTCAAAAATAGTGACAACTCCATATTAAAACCATGTAAGAATTTTTGGCAAAATGACAATTCTGTTTGTTCCCTTAATTAGATTATTTGATTTCCATTTTTTATTTATCTATAGCCAATTTTGACAAAGTTTTGTTTCTGCCAGCCCAAAGAGGAAATGGGAAAGGGGAGGTGAAAAACATTTGAAAAATCATGAGCAGAAAGAAAAAGGTGAAAAAGGAGTAGTTTTTTATATGTTGGTCAGTAATTACAGTCCATCAACTAAAACTGGCAGGTAGCAAATTGAAAACAAACAAAAGGACTCAAGCATATTTAAACTTCAAAACTTCTTGCAACAGAACGTTGCAAATGCTAAAAGTGTATATAGGTTCCAAAAGTGACAAACCAATGGATGGAAAATCTTGGGCTGTTTTAAATGCAAAGCTGTGGAAGTAGGGCGAGTTTTTTTGAGGGAAGAACCAGTATATGTTTCTCCTGTTCTTACATTTTTCCTTTAGTATCCACTTTTGGCCACTACCAAGGGCAGGATAGTACGGTAGATTTGCAGCAGATCCTTTGTGTGACCCTGTATGGATGTACCTATCTTACTTTTAGTAAGCAGAAGAGCCTTATCAATTTTATTTATTTTAACTTTCAGTTTAAGAACTTTGTTAGAATAAGAAGTTGTTGAAGCTATCTTCTCCTCATTCATCTCCTCATCATTAGACACTTACTGGCTCTTAGGTCTCCTTTGTCATAGAACTCTGCAGGAATGCTATGATACCTGACAATTGTCTTCTCATCCTCAGAAAATGAGTTAAATGAGAGAGTTGGGAAGTAGCTGATTGCTTTTCTAGAAGACTGACTCTCACACCCTGCAAGAGCTGGCTAATCTGGAATAGTTTCATAAGAACTCAGTGCTTGCACTGGTTTAAAAGATAAATGGGATTGTTTTGAGTGTTTCTGTTTTCCTTTGGTCTCTGGAAAAATTGTCCTAATTAGGTGATCTTGCTTTCAAAGCTGACGCTACTACTTAGGAATCTGAATCCCCTTACAATAAACAAAATATTTCATTATGAGGTTTTTTTTTTTCCCTCTCTAATAATCTCAGGTTGAGAGATGGAGGGCAAAGAAATTGGGTTAGTAATGCCTTCCAGTCTGATAATATTTCTGTAGATTCTGTAGTTTTAGCCACATAACTCCTGGAAAGAAAAGCATTGTCCTGGCTGTGTATATCATTCAGGGGAACAGCACACAATATGCAGCAGTATCTCTGGCATTCCCCTTGCAATACTGGTCTTCTCATTTGGTGTGCCATTTTTTTTTCTGAATCCCACGTTGCTGTGTTGTCCTTGTGTCTAAGGGCACGAGACAGTACAGACTAAAAAATTATCACTGAATGAGTTACCTGACCCACCAGGATCACTGTAGCCAGAGAGGCTTTCAGAGCCTACCTTAGTTTAGACCACTAACTCCACTTAGGCAGCAATGTGAGAAGCTTTATGAAAATTCTACCCACCCTTAGTTTCCATCATCCTCTCACTAATGCGTGTCCTTGATCCCTTTTCCCTTCTTAGAGCTCTTGTCGCTCGCGCACGCATCCGTGTTAGGAGTGTGACATGAGTGTTGAGCCAGTGATGAGAGCAGATGGCGTGGAGCTTGGTGTGGAGAGATTTTGGGTGGGAATTCCACAGTCATCTCTATCAAGTGTCAGAATTCAGAACTCAAATAAGGAGTGAGCTGCAGACTCAGTAAGTTTTGTTACTTCCTTGTTCTTCAGAAACTAGCTGGCTGAATTCCTGGATACAGGCAAGTCCAGCAGAGCTTTTAGAGTTGATGAAGACTGATCCTTTTCTGTTTAAAAACAATGCTTACATTAGCAGGGAGGTTTGAAATCCACTGTGTTACAAGCAAAAGCAATAAAAAAGGTTCAAAGGTATTTCAAAAGCAACAGAACCTTGCAAATGGTTCCTTGAGCTGGCTTCTAGGTATTTCTGCTGCCAAATTCACTCATGTGAGAAAACTGTGAATTTCAAAAGATACCCTGTCTGAGGAGCCAGACCATCTGACTTTGTATGTCTGTTCTACAACCTGAGGGTCCTTTATTTTCAACCCTGCCTGCATTCTTTGTCTCTGGAGCTGCAAAGGTTATTTCTGTTTATAGATACAGTACTATGAGTAGTGTATCTCTACTGTCAGGTGAAAATAGTTTCCCTAAGAGGCATTTGCATAGGCCTGAACATTTTTACAAATTGCCTCCACATAAGGGCACATTTTAAGGCAAATGGTAATATATAGGTTTTTATATATGTGGTTTTTTAAGGTCAGTTTAAATGGAGTATCTTTAGAGAAAAGTCTTGTTTGTTCAGAGCATTAAAAATCACGGTAGGAAACAAAGGCTGTAATAATTATATTTCTGAAAACTCTTGCTGAAGAAGTGTTGTTTCTATATTCATGTCAATGCACTGCCATTGCTCACAGAAAATTTCCAAACTTTACAGCTTTTAACCCTTTCCAGATTTTTTTTTCCTGGATTCAGCAGAAATTCATTGTGTGATTTCCGGGGTTGTCCTGTGCAGAGCCAGGAGCTGAACTCAATGACCCTTGTCAGTCCCTTCTCACCCAAGATATTCTATGAGTCTATGATTCTATTTAGCTTCAGGATCAGAGTAAAGAGAAAGTAACCAAAAACCATTGCTTGGAAAGGGGTGTATCCCTCCCAAGAGGCTGTTCAGGCTTTGGTTAAAAGTAAATAATATCACAATGACTTTATTTTTCTGTAATCCTGAAAAACCCACAAATTGCAAATGGCTTTAAAATCCAGAAATGTTTTCTTGTATTTTCCTTTAGCACAAAATATTGCAGGAAACATTCCTTGGGGGGTTTTTGTGTTTTCTCTGGGTTTTTTTGGTTTTTCTCTGTGTTTCTCTCTGAAAAAAATTCAGTCATTCTCTTTACAATGTGCTGCTGTAAATCCTCAGTAAGAGAGGGAGTATTTGCTTCTCTCCCATCATTGATACAGTTGATCCTCATGTCCCAGTGAAGGGTCCCGTTCCCTCCAGCAGCGACACCAAAAGTGAGACACCTGAAATTGTCATGGCCTGATGGATATGTCTGGAAGCCCAGATGAAAATGCAGGGATAGAAGTGACCAAAAATTCAATCTGTGCAAGGAACCTGAATTGCAGCTATCAAAACTACCTTCTGTATTTGCCTCAGTTCCTTGTGAGCTACAGATCCCTTACTTTCTCATTTAACTGCAAGATAGGCTTCGGACAAACAAAATTTGTTGTTTATTGTGTTCCAGATCTTTGACTGTCCACGGCTAAAGTTTTCTGAAATTCCTCAGAGACTCACTAACCTACTGCTGCCGCCAGACCCGATAGTGATAAACCACATCATCAGGTAAGCTGGTTGGTCAGCTCAGCGCTGTCCTGTGCAAAACACTCACTAGATAAAGAACAGAAAGAGCTGCAGTAGGTGTAGGGACCAAAATTCAGTTTTTATAACTTCCAGATGAATACCTTGGACTTTGGTGTGTGTTTGTTCTGTGTGTCATTCTAGTTTGTGTAGTTCTGAATTATTTTCACTAGCACGGCACCAATTTTCTAGGAGTATGACATACAGCTTTTATATTTTTAATATTTTTATATTTACTAGAGTACTTTGGTTGGGCTTTTTCCTAAGGAGAGAGGAATGAAAGTTTGAACGCACAAAAATAGATAAAAAAGAAATTGAAATGGGGTATTGGCCATCATGGGCAATCATTCTAATCACTGATATATTATGTAAAATATACAAGAGCGTTACAATTTCAAATGCAGGGCCAGTCCATGCATGCTTTGTTGAGATTGGGTCAGCTCCTTGACTGTTAGTCTTATCCTGAGAATGCCAAGGAGTCAAGAGATGTCCAGAGATTAACAACAAAGAATGTCTGGATTCAGAGGAGGTCATTGTGACCAAGATACTGAGCTCTTGTATCCTTGTCAATCCTGGCATAGCAGGTGAAACACAACTTTCAGCTCTCTTGGGCTCCTCCAGCATGTGCCTTATTTAAGTGACAGCTGTGTACATGGAGGAGGGGGATAAAGAGACTTCTGGGGGTTGCAACTTTACTGTTCAGATATTTCAATCCTTTCCAAGTTTCTTTGTGGTCAAGGTCAAAGCTCTGATTCTGGGTGTTTAAAAATTATTATTACTTAGGTTACTGATTTGATTTCCTACAGAATATATGAAATATATTTTTAAGCAAATGTTTCTGAATTTGCTTAAAATTGGTCTGTTTATTTTAAATTTGTAACATACATGATAAGAAGTTTAAATATTACATAGGCTGTGAAAATAAAGTTTGCTTTTTGACTCATTTGAATGTATCAAACAGAGTAATGAAAAAGCAGCTTGGTGGCCTTGCAGATTGAGGGCTGTGTACGTACTGTCATTGGGCACAATTCAGTAACCTGTCTGATATTCCACAAAAAAGCCGAGGTCCTCAGAGATAGACAGTCATTGCTTAGAGAAAAATGACAAGGTGCTGATGATTGTGTTTCCGGGGCAGAGAGATGACAAAAAGGTGCTGGAGGGAGTGTTTTTTGCCAGGTACCAGCTAAAGAACAGGTGTGTGTCACAAAGCTACAGCTTTGTGTCTAGCAGCATTCTCTGATAGGCTGTGTGCACCACACGACACCTGACAACCTTAAATGGTACTGACATAACAGTGTGTACAAAGGAAGAACTGATTTCCTGGGAAGAGGTAGTACTTTTGCAGTGAAGTCTTTACAGTCTTGGGCTAAACTAAAGTAAATCTGGAAGTCTGTCACTGAATTTAAAGAAAGTAAGTAATTTTTAGACTCATAAAGTCACAGAATAATTTACAGTAGAAGGGATTACTGGTGGTCGTTGAGAGCTCCTCCATGCAAACTCTAATCAGGCTCAAAGTCTATCCAGAACTTAAGGATACTTAAGGGCCTGCTCCAACCAAGCTTAAAACAGGGTCTCACAAATGCTCTGCCCTGTCGCTCCACATTCAGTTTTTTAGAGTGAATGTAATGAGCCACTCAAACAGTATGCCTACTGCCTGTCCTGGTTTAATCCAATTTTCAGCATGTCCTGGTTTAATCTATTCTTAATCCATCCGCTTGTTCTCTCTCCAGCAGGGCAGGGGGAAGTGTTGAAAAGGTAAAAGGGAGAGAAAGACAGTATAACACTGATGATGATGATGATGATGGTGATGAACAAAATCCAACACTACAAGTGATACAGATAAAAACTATTGCTCACCACCAACTGACTGATGCCCAGCAAGACCCTGAGCAGTGAACACCTGCCCCAGTTTACTGCTCAGTATGGCACCACATGGTTTGGAATATCCCTTTGGTCAGTTGGGGTGAGCTGTCCCAGCTGTGTTCCTTCCAGCTCCTTGTGCACCCCAGCCTCCTCGCTGGTGGGAAGTGTGAGGAGCTGAAAAGGTCTTGACAGGCTGCAAGCAATGATCAGCAATAACAAAAATATATCTGTGTGACCAACCATTTCCAGCACAAATTCACAAAACAGCCCCATACCAGCTACTATGGAGAAAATTAACTCTATCCCAGACAAAACCAGCACACTACTACAGGAAATTTTCATCACTAGTGATCGTAAATGTATGTGTTTGGAATTCAGATAAATCCTCAGGCCTGCCTTTTACAGGAAGATCAAAATTATTAATTTTAGTTTTAGAGGATATGCACAGGGACATAAATGTGAAGTAATATAAACTCATTCTAGAAATTATAATAGTATTGTAGAATCACTCTCTGGGCACCAACAACCTCCCTTTTTGAAGAAAAAGAAGAAACAATGCAATGGAGTTCAAGTGGGCATAAAGTAGAGATGCTGGTAGAAGTCAAATCTTACCTGAGCTCAAGCTAGAAGTGGAGATTTTCTTCAGTTGCACTCCTGCTTGCAGCTGACATACATGGAATCAGAGGTAAAAATAATGACCTCTCTGGGATTTCCATTTCTGCAATGAAGCGAGACATCTTCCACACTATTAAAGAACACAAGCAGACTGCAAAGCATAGCTCTCCAATATTCTTCTAGTACAAACAGGTTATCTCTGGCATCCCCCTTTTTGACTACCATCATGATTTTCTAGAAACCAGTTCCGTATAGGGAGTGAATTGCCCGTGCTGCAGTGAGTTTCTGTTGCCTCTCACCCTAATCTCATGCTCCTCCAAGGGGAGGCTGGCCCTGTCTGTGCTTCAGCAGTCCACATGGCTGTCGCACTCTCCCAGGTGATCTCCTTTTGCCTTTTCTTCTCCAGGCTGGAGAAGCTCTTGCAGCTTCTCCTGGCAGGTCTGTGCTCCAGCCCCCAGCGTCCTACTCTGCTGAGCCTCTGCGGGCCTTGCTCCAGGGTGTCACATCTTTGTGGTCTTGTGCCCGCCGATCCAGATCCAGTTTCACCAGCATGGAGTAGCAAGGAAGAGCCTCTTTCCTGGGCTTGATGGCAAAACCTGTGCTAATGCAGCCCCTTTTGCAGCTGACCTTTGCTCTGGCTGCCTTACCCCTCAGACTCCTTCTGCACTTGTTGTCTGTCCCTTAGGGCCCCCAAGTCCTCTCCTGCCAACCTGTTTTCTACCCCACCGATGCCCACCTGTCCCCCTGCCCGGTGTGAGTCCATCCCAGGAGCAGAGCTTTTCCTGTGCTGACCTTTACCGTGCTGAAGTGCCGTGCTGTTTGTGCAGCCTGTCAGGGTCCCTGTGCACAGCCCTGCTGCCCTGACTGACTTGGGCTCGGGACTCTGGGAGGCCTGAGGACAGGACTCAGCCAGGAGCAATGGAGCCAGAGACAACGTGGAGCCTTCTCTGTGCCTTTCGACACGTGCAGCAGAACCAGACCTGGACCTGGGTTTTTCTTTAGCTTTCCTTCTGCTGCTCATCTTCTTGCTGGTGGCCACAGCATCACAGATTCTCAGAATGTTTGAGGTTGGAAGGGACTTCTGGAAATCATCTGGTTTAAATGCCCTCCCCTGCTCAAGCAGAGCCTCCTGTAGCAGGTTGGCTGCAGCTGTGTCCAGATGGCTTTGGAGTGTCTCCAACATGGGAGACTCTGGGCTGGGGGAAAGGCAGATGGGCTTTGAGGGTCTTACTGCAACTTGTGCTATTGCTTGGTCACCTTTACAGTAAAAACCTGTTTCCTGGTGTTCAGAAGGAGCCTCCTGTGTTTCAGTTTGCACCAACTGCCTCTTGTCCTGTCACTGAGGACTACTGAAAAGATCCTGGCTCTATCTTCTTTAAACCCTCCCTTCAAGTTTTGGTATGTTCCCTCCCCATCAGCTGCCTGTTTTCAAGGCTAATTAGTCCCAGACCTCTCAGCCTTTCCTCAGCTGTGAGGTGCTTTAATGCCTTAATCATCTTCATGGACCTTGCAAAATTCTCTCCAGTAGCTCCATATCTCTTGCCTTGGGGAGCCCAGCACTGAGCACAGTACTAGATGTGTGTCCTCATCGGTCTTGAGAATAGAGAAGGATCACCTTCTTCCACCTGCTTACAACACTCCTAATGCAATTCCATTCCTGGAAGTTCTTCTGCTCCCCCAAGTCAGTCAAGCTCAATTAGATCCCTTTTTTTTTAGTGAATTTTTTTTTTGCTACCTACTGAATTGCACACAACCCACACATTTGACAGGTAGGGTTGAGAAGCCAGCATTTTTATATTGCAAGTGACAGTGACTGAAGTCTGGTTTGCCAAATACTGCGCTGAAGACTGTTTTCTTGTTAAGAAACTTTAGTCTAACAATAAAGTAAATGTTAAGTCTAAAAGTTGGCAAACTAAAGATGAATTTAGGACAGGACAAACCAAAGAATCATACTGGTATTTAGTGTAACATGTCTCAGGAGGATGTTAGAAATTAAATTTGATGGTCTGGGCAAAAGCTCCAGCTCAAAAGTCTTTGAAATCTGACTGACAAAAGATGAGAGAATATACTAGAATAGGAAAATATATAAAGATACCCTATTCTTACACTTTTTTCACAGTATCTGCATCAGGCTTTATTGAAGAGTGAATTCTGGGCTGGTTGGAAATTAATTCTGATTCATTATGGCAGTTCTCATGATCTTGTGTTATACTCTCCATAGTGTTGACCCCAACGATCAGAAGAAGACGGCTTGTTATGACATAGATGTAGAAGTTGAAGACCCATTAAAGGGCCAGATGAGTAGTTTTCTTCTCTCAACAGCTAACCAACAGGAGATAACAGCATTGGATAACAAGGTATTAGCTCAAGAGTAAAGTATCCCATGGTCCATGTACTCATTGTGTAGCTTCACGTGTTTGGTGTCGTGTCAAACAGTAATGTTGTGAGATGGGGATTTGTGAAGGGCACGTGCTTTCAAGGGATGAATAAGCCAAAATGCAGTGGGAATAGATCAGGGTGAATGGCATTCCCACTTAGGATTTGATCCAAGGCCTGACATGGTTGTGGAGATGATAGAGTTTCACTGGTAGTGTACTAAGTCCCCTGACGCTTGAGAATCACCTGAACTGTATGATTAACTTTTTATTGAGAGGTCATGGTGTCTTGTTAAATTGCTAAGCCAGAGCTAGGAGAATCTCATACTCAAGTGTGGGGTTTATATTCATAACTGCAGAATGGCTCTCTGTATTAGGTGGTAATGCAGAATGTGCATGGCAGGAAAATCACTTGGACCACTTTGGCAGTTCTAAGTGTTAGTGGAAGAGGATCATGTGCACTTCAAATAATAATATCTGTCTTAAGGCAATGGTGGGTTTTGCAGGCTGTTTTAGGGATTCCTGTCCTAGGGGCTGTTAGCCAGTTCTGGCATGTGTCAATGGCTGATTCGGATTGGTAAGGGATAAACAAAAATGCCTTCTCAGAGCAAGGCCCAGGTTCTCTTTTGCTAATACAATTTGCTAATGCAAACAAATGTGTTAAGCTCTGGTCTTCATGCAGTTTTAAAGGGGTTCTGGGCACCAGCAATACAATGGATTCTGGTAACTGTTGCAGTGTCTTTGATGTCATGGCTCTTGAGGATGGTCCTTTTCAGCTGCTCAGTCAGTTGGTTCCCAGCCTATATAAGCGTGCAAGCAGCATGCATAGGGTTATTCTGTTCCCAGTCCCACTCAGCTTTTCCTCTGTCTATGGCACCTCATTTTTGAATATTTGCTACAGCATAGGGCAAGTTGTGATCAGTGAAGTTATTGAAGTCACTGCTGGGTGAATGGGCATGGGCTGCTCCTGTTACCCTGCCACGGAGTCCCCTCCTGGGAATTCGGCACACGCCAATGGAGTTCACTCCACACAACTACAGCATTTTACCAAAGAAGGAATGATTTTTAAGTTGACAGCAGCTGTCTTCTCTTAACATACCATGTAGTAGTTACACTAGTGGCCTTGATGGTATAACCAGATCAGGGGATAATTATTTTCTCCCACGTGCTTGGTCACCTTCACTGTTTTGGCAAAAGAGATGAATACCCGAAACTAAACAAGATAGGTTTACTATTTCAAGCTATAATGTTGGAGGAACAGGGCAGCAAAAGTTTGCTTTTGTGTGTGTCTATGTGCAAATAGTTCATGAGATGTCGTCCCATTCATACTTGGTGATTATCCATTATAGGACCTTGACTCCTCTTCAGTCTTCATTCTTTCCCACTAGCTAATGTTTCTGCCATAGTATTTCTAAAGATATGATTAATTTTCTATAAACCTTCCATACTCGTGATTTCTCATTGTTCACACTCTTCTTTTTGCAGTCATCATGACTTTTACAGGCTTTCTCTTAAGAAAAATCTAGAAGTCATGGCTATTCATTTGACATGGACTTGATCAGGAAACTGCTAGAGTTTTTAAGGATTACAGTAAAATATTGAATATATGATCATGATGGTAACCAGGGGAATAACTGCTTTCTTGCACTGGGCACTGCCTATCTGCATATTTGTATAGCACCTTTCCTCAAAGATCCCAGTCTTGGCAGGCAGAATGATTCTACACAGGAAATTATTACATTGTGCAGTGACATGGCTTAGTTCTGCATGCCATGTAGGAGTTCAGTGCAGGAAGTGAAGGAGAATCCTGTACATACTTGTATTGCAGAAGTACAAGTGAAACCAAAATGTAGTGGCAGGATTGCAGTTAAGTTGCTGCTTTTTGAATTGAAAAAGCCCTAGGAAGGGCTGCACAAGTCTGTGGTGTAGAATTGTCACCTTTGTACATTACCAGGAGTACAAAGACAGTAATGGAGCTGACCTGATGGTCACTGGAGCATGGGAGAAATTAAAGAATATCTGCTTTTTTTTTTTTTCTGTCAGATACATGAGACAATTGAATCCATAAATCAGCTAAAAATACAACGTGATTTTATGCTGAGTTTCTCCAAGGATCCCAAAGGATACATCCAAGACCTTCTCCGGTCCCAAAGCAGGGATCTTAAGGTGAGCTAAGGTTTGAAAAAGAATGAATACTGGAACCAGAATGGAAGAATTCTATCTAAATGTACAAGAGTGTATAGCCAATCATCTAGGATGGGTGATTGGTAGAAGACAGACAATGAGTGGAGTACTGCAATCCCAGAGAAAATAGGAAAGATAGTTTAGGAAAGGAAAGGTAGTTTAGGTTGGAGGAAAGATAGTTTAGGTTGTATTCCAGTTCCAGTGGAACAGTGGTGTTTCATGGGAATGGTAGATCAATTTGTGGCAACACAATAAGTTTGAAATGCAGGGCTTTGTTGATGTATTCTGTAAATTCAAAGCTGTGTAAAACTCCGCAGGAGCATCATACAGTACGAGAACACAATTTGGGTGTTTGTTCTTAATTTAATCTTATCCGGTGTCCTTGAGCTTATCTTTGAGATATACAAGAAATTAAATGTAAAGAAGGTCAGTTGTTTGCCAGCAAAAATTAATAATTTGTTCCTCATAGTTTCACATTTTCTGTCTTTAACTGACATGCCTTAAAATCAGTTGTATTATTGAATCCATGAAATTATTGGAATAAAATCATTGTGTCTTTCTTACATAATTGCCTGTTGTTAACTGAATAGTCTTCCCAAAGTCTACTCTTAAGATTATGGTTGTTACTATTTATATTGTATTCAAAGGGGACAGGCATCTGAAAGCATGTTTAAATAAATAAAGCAGACCTCTACTTGAGGAACTTACAAACAAAGGTGTTGTGGAGCTTCTCTAGCTATATACATGGAATAGTTGTTCAGTTTTCCCTGACTGAGAACTAGTCCCATAAGAGCCTTTTCTATTAAGGTTCTGCCCTGCTGGCATCAGAGCTGTGATTCCATAACACTGCTTTTCAAAATACCAATAACTATATTTACCTGTGACTCTGTGATGCAGGAGACATAGTCATCAGGATTCTGTTTTTTGTGGAATGGTTCCAACGCTCTGCTGCCCTATCCCTGGAGGCAGATTGGACAGGACTAGAGCACCTGATCTAGTGGAAGGTGTCCCTGCCCATTGCAGGGGTGTGGAATGAGATGAGCTGAAAGGTCCCTTCCAACACAAACCATTTGATCGTTCTATGATCCTGTTTTGGCAGTAAGCACACACTGTCCATTTGCTTTGGGCTTTGAGAACAGTTCTGACCATTTTTATGTGTCATGTAGATAAATTTTCACTGTGGGTAAATCTGAAAATTTCTCTGTGTGGTAGAAGAGCTATGGTGAAAAATGGTTTTATTTTTGTCACAGGTGATGACTGATGTGGTTGGAAACCCGGAGGAAGAACGGAGAGCTGAATTTTATCATGAGCCATGGTCTCAAGAAGCTGTGAGCAGATACTTCTACTGCAAGGTATGAAAGAAATATCCACACTACTGGCTTATAAATGCATCTCTTGCCACTGAGTAATTTAATCTGCTAAACTGTACAGTGTGTCTTTCTCTTTCAGATCCAGCAGCGCCGACAGGAATTGGAACAATCTTTGGGAGTGCGTAACACATAAGTACTGCTCACAACATTCCATTGGCATCAGGACCACCGAACCAGTGGACTTCTCAGTGTTACTTAGCTCACTGTTACACATGGACCTGCTTCCTGACTGGATGAGAACGTGCCGTCAACACACCAGTCAGAACACCAGCTTTAGAGTGACCCTTGAAATCTTGTCCAGGACGGGTGTCTCAAACCATTCCAAGCCAGAGACAGCACCATACAAGTGTCAGTGTGAAAGAAGACTAAAGGTTCACTCATCAACGCACATTGTTAAGTTTTAGTGGAAAGTTAGACACTACACAGCAAATCCTAATGGGCTATGCTTAGAATCATGGATGGCACCAATGGTGGAGGTTGAGATAGGTGTTCTAGGAGACTACAGATTTAGAGAAATAAATGCAGTTCTTACCCTATGGTACCCAAGAGTCTCAAACAGTAACTTATCTGGAATTAGACAAGATAGTCTTTCTTATAGCTGTGGAATGCTTTATATTCCTGAATAGAGTTTTTATTTCAGCCAAACCAGTGTAAGAAGCTATCTCACCATCTGAAAGAACAAACTAAGAACATTTGCATCCTGGAATGCAGAGCCCGTCTGGAAGAAAGACATATAGTCAGGCCATCTCTTCTGCAGATGCAAATAATTCCTCTTCCCTTTGTCCTGGCAGTGAAAGGTAGATTGCATCACATATCACTAGATGGGTATGATCTGTACACTGTACTGAGAGAAAGAGAATAATTCCTGGGATAAGAGCTTCTTATGCATCCTTAATATCAGTGGTATTAGCAACAAATGAGGCATTCTGAGAAAACTAAAATAACGTAATGGTGCTTTGCTGATGCCTGCCTTTAACACAGCAGATATTAACAATAAGTATATATGTAAAATACCAGATTATTTAAATGTTTCTCTGTGTGCCTGTAGGGTTCATCACTGAAAAGAACTTCCTAATTCTTGGTGTAGAATCCAAGATGCTTAATTTAATGTCACATGGTAGTTTTTTCTTTACTCAAGATGTTAACAGAGTCCCTGGATTGGTCTCACATTTTGATCATAGGTGAACTGCCTCTTACTATGAATTATTTAGCTCTCCCATACATGATACGTGATGGTTATTTTGGATGCTGTTGAGTTATAAAGCATATCAGCCTTAAATAGCACAGAGAGCATATCCCGTGGAAATCATCTTCTTTGTAAATGTATGACAAATTCAGATAATGGGAATTTATAGAATGATTACTTGGAAGCAGGGACATCTTCCTTAAATCCTTCCCCTCCTAATTTTTTGTAGTGCACAGATGTGCCATAATAAAGGCCCAATATAATTTCTAGTCCAAAAAGCAGCTGCCAAAGTATAACTGTCCATTTGATGTGGCATTCAAAATCCTCTTCTAGGTTACTCCTTTTCAACTCCATTCTTACACTCCTTGGGAAGAGAATCAAATTCACATGTGATATGGAAGGAAGGCAGCTCTTCTGAATAAATGCATTTTTTCTCTAGTGTTGTGTTTTCTGCTGTCTTTGCCAATTTCTCTCTTAGTTTAACTTAAACATTTCTTCTCTTCAGTCACAGAAGAGATAGGCTTCTCTTTACCCCTTTATTTAAAATCTTTGTTTTCACATTAATAGTGCCATAGCTTTTAGTCCATCCATGGTGTTCAGAGATGTCTTGGAAAATTTACTTTTGACTGAATCTATGTGATGGCAGTAGTCTCCCACAAAACCTGTTGGTGTGAGAAAAAGTACCTTATTGTCTGAGGCCTTTTTACATGGGAATGGCTTGATTTGGCATTTTTCTTTTTTGTGTTAACGCCTCTTTTCACAGTAAAATGTGAAATCCTGCAGTCTTAAACTGGTTATACTGAGGGACTGTGAGGCTGCCACAGTGATGGACTTGAAACGTTACTTAATTTAGGACTTCACTAATTGGACTAAAAGCAAGCATTATGAGTAAAAAACAGTGGGGGTCATCTGCTGCTGTGCTTCCATATTTGTTATGCTGCTGTGTCCGATGTATGCATGCTGCTCAGTGTAGAAAACTCTTGTCTGTATGTGGCAAACAGAGCAGCTACATTCAGGGGTATGCTCAGTCTGCAGGAATAAGAAATGCGTAGAAAAATATTCAAGGATATGAGAAGGGCACGGGACTGAGATTGATGCCTGCAGAATGTCTGCCAGGGAATTCTAGGGTTTGAGAGCCTTCCCACTGAAGTGGAAGATATTTATGAGCAATGCCAGCCATTTGCCACAGCTGACAACATACTGGAGTCCAGCCTGGTTTTAGAGCCTCTGTAGAACTAATTGGATGGATCTGGTTCCAAGTCTCTTTCAGAGCAAATGAACAAAACTAACGTGGTGCTGGTGCCAGTGTTCACAAGTGCATCACTGAAAGCTGAACCTCTGTCAAGCAGCAGTGTTATACTGAAATGGGTGTGTGCATGAATCAGCCACTGATTCTGGAGATCACAGTCCAGAATCTAAATTCTTATATTTCACTGTCTGTAAAAAAAGACTGGTCACTACCAGTGAGTCTTAGGACTAGCTGTCAGGTGTCTTTGCTTAAACTGGGGTTTGAGAGCTGTTCGGGTCTTACTGAATCAGAGAGAGAAAAATTTTGTTCTTTGTTCCATAGGTGCATCTAAGAGCTTGTTTGTTTGCAAAACAAAAAACTTTATTTGAAGACAAATAATGGAGCAATACTGGAAGCAACTAGACCAAGTGTTGCTTGAGCATTGAAAATGAAAGGTAGTTGAACTGAACAGGCAGGTAATTATGGCAGACTGTGAATGAGGAATTTCTTTTAACTTCAGGATGGTTGTCTTTTTCTGTGTATAAAAGACAAGAAGATGTTTCAGGGTCTTCATTTGCCACCGTACAGTACAAATCTATGCATACTGCAAAAAAACATTCTGTGCATAGAAGTAGTTCTTGTATAGATGATAATATAGATTGTTAGGAAATATAGCATCAAACTAGGAAAAGGTTCAATGGAATTCTGGAGTACCAGCAGGAGGGAAATGTATGTTGGAGCAGAAGTGTTGATGTGGCAGGTTAGAAACAGGTTTTTTTAGTCGTCTGGGTTGTTGGCCATGAGGCAGGAATCAGATCAAATGTTTCTTAGAGACTGAAGGGGAAGCAAATGTTCAATTGTGGAATAAAGAGAAGAATACAACAGTGGGAAAGGAAATTAAAAAATGGAGCAGAGTACCACTGAAGCACCAGAAAGACACAGCACAAAATAATGTGCAAAGTACTCTTGGAAGTAGCACAGCCCACCTGAGTCTGTGCATTCTGTGTGCATGTGTGTATGCAGACACACAGAACTCATGGCAGAGACAGTCAGTGCGTAGCCTGGGAAGTGGGGGGCAAGGACAGAACCAAAAGTTTTGCAAATAACTTTGAGACGCACTGTCAAAGCACTTTCACTGTTACCAGCAAGGATTCAGCTGTTGGACATAGCAGGGTTGGTAGCTGTAGTGCAGGCGTCGTCTCAGCTGGCAGGTTTTTTACCTGCACATTGTTTACCCATTGTTTAGAAGTTACCCTGTGGAAGCCAGGTGAAAATATTAGTATGTAAATCAATATTGGTGTATGTCCTAGGGCTCCTAATTTTGCCAAAATGCTAATCAGATATGTGGGGGTTGTTGATCTGGTTTCGTGTGGAGAACTCTTTTAAGTCGATGCAGAGAGATAAGGGGGGAAAGAAAGCTCTTTTTTCCTAAAGAAAGCGGTCTCCTTTCTGTAACTGCTCTGTTGTTTAATCGGATGTATCTGTTCTGCCAGATCCTGTATTATAAACATCTTTTCCAAACTCACTGAAGAGAGGAGCTCTGTTTAAAAAATACAACAGTGGGTTTGTGAGAGTGAGAAATATGTGTATAAAGAATAGGGGGAAGGGAGAGACTCCTTCTACTCTGTAACCACCATATCCATTGTATGATGCCGAGTGATTCGTAGAAGAGCTTTTAACAATAAATACTTTGTTTCTTTCTATCTCGTGCACTAACCTTATGTGTCCTAATGAAGACCGGTACCTTGGTTTCTTTCTGCTCCTGCTAATGATCTCTTGTGTTTGGATTTCTCTTCACTTGTGAATGCACACAAAGACATGCAAACATTTACAGATTTTAATGAGACTTGATAAAGGTGAGAACTGTTCCGCCTTAGATCTTTCTTGTGAGTTCCTTTTTTTCACTAGATTCTACCTTCAGCCATTTCCATACTCAATAAGTGAGAAATCCTTTCCATTGGAAAGATCTGGCTCCTCTCCTGGACAGCCTGGAGCCTGGGTGCTGAGAGGTGCTGGTGTAGGAATTACAGAGTCACCATCTCCACTGTGGTAGCAAATAGGTGGATACCACTTCTATAGCACTTCTCCCTAGATTCTGCTTATATAAAAAAATCAAATGGAGTTTCTTCTACTATGTGTAGTATGTCATTGTAGTTCCAGATTGGGCCAGGAGCTTCTGACGAGGAGACCCCTGCCCCCTGTCCATTGTTGATTTGGCAGGGAATATTGTTTTGTTCCAGAGTGGGTGGATGGAGCACAGGGAACAGTTGTGGTTGTCAGCTTTAGAGTTTGATTGCAAAAGTCACTGAAAAAAAGAATGACAATGAGGTTTGTCAAACTAGTGCTTTCAGACCTCACTCGACATCTTTGCTTTGTGTTGGAGATTGTTGTGTATTTGCACTACAGGGAAGTTGAATTGTAGCCCTTCCAAGTTCAGCCCAGAAGGTCCCAAGGGACCTTAACTAGGAATATTTCTTCTTTACTTTCTTTCATTTGTGATAACATGATCTTCAAACTGCGTGCGGGGGGCGGGCGGCGGGGGCTGCGCGGGGCCGAGGGGGTCCCGGCTCGGAGGCGGGGGGAGCTGCGGGGCCGCGGCCGCCCGGCAGAGCCGTTCCTGGGGAACAAAACCCGCAGCTGCCCGCGCCGCGGCCCCGTGGCCAGGGGCAGCAGCGCCCAGGCCGGTGGGGCAGTGCTGGCGTACAGGGAGGATGCGGCTGGGCTGGAGGCAGAGCTTGCAGGCTTCTCACATTTAAATGAACGTGGAAAGCAGGGGGAGAGGTGGTACAAAAGCACTGATCTTCAAACTGCCAGGAGAAATTCCTTAATTTCTCCTGGAGAAAACCACATGGCACAGGCAGTTTGCAAAGGAGCCCAGGATTGTGTTTGGAGAAGAGAGTGCAGTGTGTCCTGACAAGGTGTGTCTGCCTGTGCTCTTATTCCAGGAAAAAAAGTGCACTATGCCAAGTCTTTTTCCATTCTTTGACCTAGAAAGGCTCTTCCTGGCACACAGGGAGCAGATTTCTTTTCCTCACGTGCTCGGACTTGACTGGGACCACTCCACAGCTGAGGAATAATTTCATTTTTCCAGAAGGAAGTGGGAAAATCATGGACTTCCATGTAAGAATGGTTGGAGAGAAACTTGGAAGAAGTCTTGCAGCTTGTTTATGATTTTTCTGGTCTGGCATTTTCGCCCCCAATGTCCTAAACCTTCGCGCTCCCCGTGTGAGGGCTGAGGGGCCCGGCGCTCGGCTCCGCAGTGACGCTGCCCCCGGGAGCGGCTCGGGAGCGGCGGGCGCGGGTCCCGGCTGCGGCAGAGGCGGGCGAGGGCCGCGGTGCCAGCGGAGGAGGGCGGGAGTTGCTGTGGCAGAGGCGAGGTTGAAGACGAGAGGAGAACGGCGGGTCCCGGGAAAAGCCCGTGCGGGGGGCGGGCGGGGGGGGCTGCGCGGGGCCGAGGGGGTCCCGGCTCGGAGGCGGGGGGAGCTGCGGGGCCGCGGCCGCCCGGCAGAGCCGTTCCTGGGGAACAAAACCCGCAGCTGCCCGCGCCGCGGCCCCGTGGCCAGGGGCAGCAGCGCCCAGGCCGGTGGGGCAGTGCTGGCGTACAGGGAGGATGCGGCTGGGCTGGAGGCAGAGCTTGCAGGCTTCTCACATTTAAATGAACGTGGAAAGCAGGGGGAGAGGTGGTACAAAAGCACTGTGGGTGTTCGGGCAGGTGAGACATGACTCAGGGAAGGGAGTTACTTTCCTGAGCTCCTGGAGTTCCACTTGCCTCTCTCAGGAGCAGTCGTGAGAAGTTTCCCGTTGGAGCTAGGCTCCAAAAGGAAGGAGCCTGAAACTGCTTCTTCTGATAAATCCCTAAGTGTGGAAGGCCGTATGAAGCTCACTGCTGTAAGCAGTCAGTAACTTCCATGGATATTTTAACTATTAAAAATGGTGACTTGTATTTCCTCTGTGCACAAATGACTTGGTTGTCCCATGTAGAATCCATGGAGGCCGTGAATTGCAATCCAGAGCATCTTCAGGCTTCTGGTGTTCAGGGCTGTGGCGTTTGTTGTGCAGAAAACATCCCAGGCTGTCTGCCCCAGGTCTGGATGTGCATTTCCATGGTTCCTCAGAGTGGGAAAAGCCAAGAGGCTGGTGGGAAGGGCTTTCTCCCAGGCCTGGACATCCTCAAGACACCTCAAGTTTTGTTTTTAAATGTTTGTTGTCT